TAATTCACATGTTATTGGAGTACCCAAAAGAAGAGTGGGGGGGGTAGAAATCCTTAAAAAGAAATAACAGTAGAAGCATTACAAAATTTGATAAAACTATGAACATACAGATCAACTAATACCCAAGCACATAAAACGAAGAAAACTCCATGAACGCACATCATAATCAAACTGCTTATCACTAAAAACCAACAATAAAGAGAAAATGATAAAAGCAGCCAGAGGGTTAAAATTTTTTAAAAGATGCCTTTATGTGTTAAGAAACAAAGATAAGGATGAAAACAGATTTCTCATGGAAACTATGCAAGCTAGAAACCAGAAGATTAAAATCTTTAAAGTACTTAAAGAAACAAACTATTAACTTAGAATTCTATAGTGAGCTAAAATAGCTTTCAAAAACAGAAGCAAAATAATTGCTTTTCAGATAAAAAAGCTGAAAGAACTCATCACCAGATCAACACTACAACAAATGCTAAAGATTGTCTTTCTAGGCAGAAGGAAAACAAAGGAAATGTGGATCTACCCAAAGTAATTAAGAGCACTAGAAACAATAATTGCAGAAGTTAATATAATAACTTTTTAATTATTTAAATCTCTTTATCGATGATTATCGAATAAGATAATCATGGTTTAGAGCAAAAATAATAATTAATTGAGGTTTATAAAATATGCAAAAAATTTAAAATATGACAAAAGTAACACAAAAGCCAAAAGGGTAGGAATGGAAGTACGTATATAGCTACAAGGTTCTTATACAATATCTGAAATGATTTGTCCACACAGAGCCTTCAGCAACTTGTCAATTATGCTTGAGGTTTTGCTACTCTGATACTGGTTCCCATAGAGATTTCTGCTGGTGTACATTGTGATTTTCTATATCCATCTCCCTATTTCTCCAATTTTGGGGCAGATCTCACTGCTTTGGTGGATCTAGAAGAGCTGTTGATTTTTCAGTTTGTTCAGTCTTTTACTTGTTAGGACAGAATAAAGACGTCTAAGAAATATCACTTGAAGGCAGACTGACAAATTAAAGATGCATACTATAAACCCTAAAGCAACCAATAAAAGGACACAAAGAATTACCACTACTCAGCCAAAATGGAATCACAGAAAATATTCAATGAATAAAAAAAAAAAAGGAGATGAGAAAATGGGCAAAAAATAATTAGCAAATGATGAATTTAAATACAATAATATCAATAATCACTTTATATGTAAATTACCTAAACACCCCATTGTAAGGCAGAGATTGTATGTAACAGTAAAAGAAGAAACTCAAGACTACGCTGCCTAAAAGAAATCCATTTTAAATAAAAGACACAAAGATATTAAAAATAAAAGTATGGGTAAGAAATACAAATCTAACAATAATCAAAAGAAAGCTGAATTCACAACATTAATTAATATCAGACAAAGTAGATTTCAGACAAAAAGTATTACCAAGATAAAGAGGTCTATCCATCAAGAGGATATAAAAATCCTAAATGTTTCTGTACCTAGTAACAGACCTTCAAAATAAATGAAGCAGGAAGGGGGAGAGGCTGGCTGTTGAATGAGTCGCCTGTGGCCAATACCTTAGTCAACCTTGACTAAGTGAAGATGCCTCCATAAAAACCCAAGAGGATGGGTATTCCAAGAGCTTCTGAGTTGGTGAGCACTTGGAGATGCGGGAAGAGTGGTGCACACCTGGAGAGGGCATGGAAGCTCTAGAATTAGTGACATATCAAGAAGAAATGCTGAGATTTCTCCATCAGCCACAGACTCAGCTGAACTGTATGTACCCAGAGGGTCTCCAGCCCTTGCTCCTCCCATCTCCATTGCAAAAAGTTGCCAGTTACAATGCTGTGAGAGAAGTAAGGAAATATTCCTCTACTCCCGCTAATGGAAAGAGCTCATCCAGCAGGCCTAGCGCCTGCCCATGAATATACAAAGACGAAACTTTTTAGGTCTCAAAGAAATCTTTATATTTCTGGATTTTAATTATTTTTTTGGCTAGTGTGATGTCTGGTTACCCTTATTAATCAGCTGGCAAAAGAATACTTAAAACTCAAGCAGAAAATACTAATAGGGCTGCCAAAAAATTCATGAAAGAGAATGAAAAACTAAAAAAGGCTCTTGAAAAGCTACAACAAGGAAAAGGAACACATTTTGGAAGCAAAAAATAAAAAACTGGTAGAAGACCAGGAAAAACTGAAAACTGAATTGAAAAAGACTTTAGATGCTCTTTCTAGGGCACAAAATGGTGTGATGACAATGAAGATGCAATCCTAGGGACTTTCAAAAGAATAGGAGGGACTGCTACCACAACAGTCCGAAGCTCAGGATCAGGAGCGTTCATGAAAAGACAACAAGAAAGGCCTATGAACTGAGTGAAAGAAGACTGTGATACACTATGTCAAGATGATGCATTTTTGTTATGTTAGACTCTAGAAAATTTTAAATTCAGTTCCAAAAAATGTACTATGACCGGCCAATGTTTTTTTAATGCCACACATAAGCCACACATCATAATGGCATTATTACAATATTTGATGATGTTTCACATATATTATAATGCCTGTATTCCAGCTCTTAAGTAAAATATAAGCATGTTAAATACCTTATTTAGATATTGACAATAATGCTGGTGTATGGTGGCTGTTTACCAATACAAGCAAAAATTCATTAGCCAGTTACTTTCAAAATTGGGTTTTTAAATTGCATAAAACCATTAGTAGCCTTAAAAGTTGTGATGAGTTTCCACTAATACTAATCTAATTGAATCAGATGATGATAATGATTACGTATATGAATACAGTATCCAGTGTCAGCAAATTTGTTTGTAGGGAGATTAAATAAGAATGAATGATCAGAATTTACCACTATATTTATACAAAGAGTCAAAAAGCGCAAAAAATAAAAACAATTACCTTAGTTTTTGTTTTTAGTCTGATAATATAATACTATGGTTTACTCTCGTAAGACAACTACCGTATTTGCCGGCGTATAAGACAATTTTTTGGCCCTGAAAAATATGCCTCCAAGTGGGTGGTCGTCTTATACGCCAGGTACACTTCAGATAGACTGCCCATAGTGCTTGCCCCGTGCCATAGTGGCCTCCCGATGCCCG